GATGGATGGGTGGGTGGATGGATGGGTGGATGGGTGGATGGATGGGTGGATGGATGGGTGGGTGGGTGGATAAATAAATGAAGCTTGCATTGATTAAACGAACGTTGCAAATTTGAATAATGGGCTCAGATGTTGAGGTAAAGACTGGGGTTGAAATTTACACCGTTTAATAGTTTCATTAATGCAAGTTTCAAGTAGGATGGAAATCAAACTTCAAAGAATAAAATGAATCTTTGAACYGTGATAGGAATGCATGAGCTAGTTTGAATGTAATATTTTTTCCTTGTCCATATTCTAATTCCAATAGGGTGCGTCAGGGTCTTGCAGAAGTCAAAGACAACACAATCCATACAGGCCCTCAGATAGAAGAAGAAGATCAAGAGACAGATATCAAGATAGAGAAAGACCTACACTGCGCATAACTCAAAATGATCAGTCACGAGAGAGACAAAATGTACGGGACGAACAAGCAAGGACACCATTAGTACAAATGCAAAGACCTACGCCTCCCCCTCCACCCCTGCCCCCTGCTTATCAAACAATCAAATTTCCATACTTACCGTCCTATTCAGAGGTGGAAGCACTACCGCCTCCTCCTCCATATACAGAAAAATAGATTTATGACGAATTTTATATACGAAAATATATTTAATTTGAACATGGGTGTGTGTTCGAACCTCTAATTTATCTCAGGAAAGAAGAATTTCTTAATTTATTGGATTGAAAATGATCCGCTTTTATTATAGATGGAATCAATTATTAATCGGTCAAAATGGTGCAGAATGACAGTGAGCCATATTTGTCCCTGATCTGGTGTCTATAAAGATCTAGTTTTATCAGAAGGTTTACTATTGTACTAGTAAGATTGTTTAGGTTCCAGAAAATATTCATACCTTCCCACAGTGCTTGAAATAACGGCCAGACATCTGACAATCTGTCTGCTCAGAATAATAATAATTGTAACCTGTCTGGTCAAATCTTTACGTTACCAGTCATTTTGACCAGTAATGTTAAGCCAGAAACGAGATACAGTATGATTGAGCTAAAACTAATTTAGCTTGTRATCATGACCAGCGACTGATTGGCCATTATTTTAAGCCCTGCCGCACACAGGAAGTCTTTAGGTTACTTTAATTTTTCACGGGAAATTTAGCCTGGGTGGATAGACAAGCAGAGGGTTATGTAGTATCATTCTAAGTGCAGGTCCAAACCATGGTTATCTAATTAATAGATGATTAGCTGTTATTGTCAATAATTGTTAAGTAATTTGAAAATAATTACTGTGTTGACACTCGAACCATGAACACTTCAAGGTTTTTTATCTTTTTAGAATTATATCCAATCAAAAACCACAATTCCAGAGTCTCTTGTCTTTTGTTTTTTTTTGTTTTTGAATTTTCAAATCCCCCACTCCCTGACAACTGATGGAAGTGGTACACGTGTTTATTGTATTTTCAGGTTTTTAAAATGGACTTGTAAATAGTATAAGATTTAATACTGTCTAAAATATAAGTTGTAGTTAATTTAAATTTTAAATGGTAATGGTAAAATGGTAGATATGTTCCTGTAGAATTTTTTTTAAAGGTATTGTTTTTTTTGGTACTAGGAATGGATGATCATATACTGATCATATACAATTATAATTAGTGATTATTGTATATATTATTGTAAATAAGATGATTAACTTACCAGCATGTGTGAGAATAATTGATCTTATTTTACTGAATGCATTCATGCCAGGTATGGCTCACAGGCACGGGTCCAGATTTTTTTTGAGGTGCACCCCTGGGAGGGGGGGGGGGGTACTCCCATATATGGACTATACGGGGATGATCCGCTGAACAGGGTATGGTTTTTCAAGCTTCTTGTCATAAACAGGGTATGCAATTTCACTCAAGTTCCAAATTCTTCCTGAGTTTCCTGTCATATTCAGGGTTTCTACTTTCGTATTGACCGAAACTGGTTATTATGGCCGTAAAAAAACGATATGCGAGATGACATGATAATTGAAACAGGAAGTCAGTGCAATAAATTGTATCTTTTGTCATAAAACAGGGTTCACAAATTTGAGTTTTTTTAATCATAAACGGGGTACCCCTTTCAGAATCCCAGCGGAACACCCCTTCCCGAATTCTGGCGGAGTACCCCCCAGGGGAGCACGGTTTATGATCAGGACCTTCACAAACTTAAACACCAATAATGCGCAACTCATCTATGGGGAGGGGCATGTGCCCTTCCCTATTTCCATCCTTGACTCTGCCCAGATCTATATTCCAGGTTTCTTGCAAACAACGTTTTTTGTTGTGGGGGTAGGGCTGAGGAATTTGCAGTAATCTTTTTTAAAATGGTTGAAGCCCYCTCCCTTTCATGCATAGTAAATTGTGACCCTCCTATAGTCAACAAGCAACTACCTTTCATAATAAGATGGTGTGACTCACCACAATTTACTAATGACCCTCCCATCTGAAGCCCCAGCCCTTCCCCCCCCCCCCCCCACCAGTAAAAATGTACCTTACCCTTAATAATTTTCCTTTTCATCAAGCGATGGACAAACGTCATATTTATTCATAAATCTATCTATTGAATGATGAATATATTAGAATGGTCATAAACAGGAACAGTACACTGCGCCGCCATATTGGAGAATCGAAATAGCGAGAAGACCCTGGGGATGAGACTGCCGTCTGGGTTCACATAAAACTATTCTTACCATAACATGTGGCTGATCACTGAAATTTTCGTCGTTCTGTTTAAGATTTTAGGGACGATTTTGGAGAGTATTTTTCGAAAGATTGTTCCTCCTAAAAAGAAGGATATTTCAGGACAAACGGTACTTATTACAGGTGAGAGATAGATTGACTTAGGGACAGACAATCTTAAGGTTACCGTAATCCCTCGTAATTGAGGACGTGTGTCCAAAAATAAGCACTTCAACAACGAAAAAAATATCGCGCAACCTTGCAGTCTCCTTTAAGTAAAGAAATGTCGAGCAAACAGAAAAAAAGTCATTACGTGCAGACCGTGCAGGGGTTGCTAAAAAAAAAAAAAAAAGAAGAATATCGTGCAACATCAATTTCTGTAACCTCCCCCGTCCATATCCCAGTAATACAAGGACCAGTTACCAGTCAAAACAGAGTCTATTCTTGTCCTCTTAAGCTTGTCTCTTCCGTGAGGCTTACTCATTACAGCATTTGTGCTGAGAGCATTTCACAGTCATGAGAATACGGCTCTATAAGTCTCCCCATAGTCCAGAGGCTTTACTAGCACTTACAAGAAGGGGTGGGGTCATGATGAGCCAAGGCTGTGAGGGGGGGGGGGGGGGGGGGGTATATTAATAAATACTCATTGAAGTTTTCAATGTATAGGGGCTGGAGGAGGACTGGGGATTCAACTAGCTATAGCCTTTATTAAACAAGGTGCTGCAAAGCTCATTCTCTGGGATATCAATGAAGGTGAGTAAAAAGTAATAGCTTTGGTAACAGAGAAAATGAACACAGTGAAATCTGACTGCTGGCTGTATTTCTTTTTGGCATTGAATTTGCTTAAATTCAAATGTAATAGGACAAACATGTACAACTGGATTTTTTTTGGGTTGTTTTTGGTCATTATGAAAGAAACCTATGCCCAGATTCAACAGTTTTGCATTTGATCATAAACCAAGTTGTCATCCAAAAATCTGGATGATAAGCTAGTTGGCTATGTAAACAACAAAATGTTCTCTGGCAAAAATGGRAATGAAAAATGGGGCATGCATGCAGCAAATAAAATTATAAATATATCATAAAAGGCTTTTTAAAACTTTATTATTAAATATTATTAGAGGCAAATGAAAGAACAGCATCACAAGTGAGAGCACTCGGGAAGGAAGCTGTCACATATACTTGTGACTGTTGTCAAAGAGAAGAAGTCTATAGGGTGGCAGAGTTAGTGAAGCAAGAGCATGGATTTGTTGACATCCTTGTCAATAATGCAGGAATATTGAGTGGAAAGAGACTTTTGAGCCTGACTGATGAGCAGATTCAAAAGACAATAGAGTTGAATGTCCTTGCAAACTTTTGGGTGAGAAACTTATGTCTGCATTAATTTTTATGATTTTATAAAATTACACTGATACCCTTATGCAGTACTTTATACATCCACGAAAAGCCCACAATCAAAAAATAATAATTTTTGCTTTCACAGGAAGCCCATAAAAAACAAGTTTTGCAAGATACTTGTATCTACATTATATGACTGCATGAGATTTACATAATATTGTACCTCATTACACATATTTCCACAGGGAGCCCATAAAAAACAAGTTTTGCAAGATACTTGCATCTACATTATATGACTGCATGAGATTTACATAATATGGTACCCCCATTACACATACTTCCACAGGAAGCCCATAAAAACAAGTTTTGCAAGATACTTGCATCTACATTATATGACTGCATGAGATTTACATACTATGGTACCCCCATTAAATATACTTCCACAGGGAGCCCATAATCAAAACATTTTAGCTTGTGAGGTATTAAAGAATCCCAGTCAACTACAATGCACTGTGCCCCTATATTATTGTATACATAATTCATCTGCATCCTTTTCTAAGTTCTTCAATGTACTGGTGGAGCAAAATTTCTGCAAATTTGCTATGCCAAGGTCTTCAAATTCCCAAAGTTTCATTTCATTCCACAGCAAGTAGGTTGAATTTTTCAGAGAGATTTTCTTTGAGGCATTATGACTTTTCATTCATCAAATGGTTAGACATCACAACTTTTGATATCTACCTTAGATTCCAAAATTGCCAAAAATTAAAAAATCTAATGGAAAGCATAAAAATGTCTATGTATCATCATTTTATGATTATAACATTATAATGTCTAGCAGGAATGTCAAAAACCGATGGAACTGGATTTTCAAACTTCACCTACAAAACCACCATTTTGCCTGGCAGAGAAATTGTTGTTGATTGTTTTGTTCTAGCACACAATGCATTTTAAGTGACTAAGATTCTTTAAAATATTAAATAATCAAAAATTTTTGATTATCTAGTCCACAGTTTTTAGTATTTGCCTGTATTTTTACTTCAAAAATAATCCTGGAATTCCCCTTCATTATGTTCTTATTATATATTTTTCCTCTCAATTTTATTAAGACGACTCGATCGTTCATTCCTCAAATGATGGAGCGTAACCATGGTAACATTGTTACCATCTCATCATCAGCAGGCAGTTTTCCTTGTGCTTATCTGATAGACTACTGTACTAGTAAGCATGGATCAGTTGGTTTCACTGAAGCTTTACAAAGAGAACTTTATGTTCTGGGCTATGATGGCATCAACACCACTCTTGTACAGCCATTTTTCATTGACACTGGGATCTCTTGGTATCCAAAAGCAAGGTGATTTATTCCTAACTTTTCTTGTTGGATAGTCGAGCAGAAACTCATAAGGGGGTTGAAAATGTGTAACACTATAACCATGCTCCAGAATATCCAGATATGCAAATTAGAAGTTTTGATACCATATTTGGAATTTTATGCTTGATTAAAGATGGCCACTTCTATCATATATCAAACTTGTGGCTGAATTTCCTGACTTTCAGAGGAGATTTACTGAATCTTTCAGTCAAACATTTCGGATATCTTTCTTTAATTAGGTTTTGGAAATTTTTGAAATGAGAGGACGTGATTTGCTGGAAAGAAATTTGTTAAGAAAAAAAATAGACATTACAAAGCAGAGGGGGCTGGGGAGGGAGGGATGGAAGGAACCCCCCTCCCCCAGGGACTTTTGACTTGTAACCAATCTTCCTCGACCAATCTACACAGACAGACAGACAGACGGAGACCAAGGGAAATAAAGGGACTTAGCTCTTAGTCTAAGAGCATTGATAGCACTAAAGAAATGTATGGCTGTTACGTTTCAATTATCCCCCATATATGAGTTTCTGCACTGAGGAAATAGGAAATATGCATACATGCCAGTGTGTAGTGCATGGGTGTAGCAAGGCGGGGCAATGCGTGACACTGCCCCCTCAAAATAATAGTTTTGATAAAATACTGTTAACTTGACTGTAATTTTTCTTTTCTGTTAAACATAAGTTTGATTTCTTATTGATTTGATAGATTTTATTTGAATATGACTATTTTGGTACATCGTATCCATGGCATTCCAGTAGATAACATGGCAAGAAACTCTTTTAAATAAGATGAAACTCTTGTGCCTAGTGCAGCACACAGGATTGTTAGTTTGTATATTTCTAAGAATCTCTGTTCTTTATTTCTGCCCCTGGGAAATAATATAGACGCCTTGCATGTGACGTCAAAGCAGCTGGATCGGATCTGGGGGACAAAACAAAAGAATTTCAATCTCCTGAGAATTGGAGGCTAAATTGTTTTTGTCCCCCAAATTGAGCTGCATACCAAAGTTCTGCAAGGGGTCTATATAAGGCACATTATTTTATTATTTTAAGGCAGATTTTGTTTCTCCTTCAGATTTCCTAAGCTGAATCCAATTCTGAAGCCAGATTATGCAGCAAATAAAATTGTGTCTGCAGTATTACGTGATGAAAAACAGGTTTTTCTGCCTCGTAATTTGGCTATTTCATTGGCCTTAAAAGCGTAAGTTGCTTTTGATTTTATCAATAAATTATTTTTTGAATTATTTTCTTTTTATCTTAAAAAGAAGCTTCCATTTGTATGTCATTCAAGGTGAAGATGTCAGGTCTAGGGCAGCAGTCATAATTTCTTGGGTGGGGTGGGGGCTTTGGGGGTTTAGGAGGTGCACCAGCCATAGCCAAAAGGTCTTAAAGTCACACCAACAAAAAACCTAAGTCTTGAACTAGAATTCTACATTCATTTTATCATTCTTCTCAAATCCAAAGTCATAGGACTGCTTGCTAAGTGCATGTTTTAATGATCTTTCCTGATTAATTTGCAGAATCCTTCCACTTAAAGCTCTATACATTTTGAATGATTTTCTTGGTTTGGGTATTGATGAGCACTATCCACGACCAGATGCTAAGAAGGCAAACTAAACTACAAGAAGATGTTTGCAAACCTGCAGAAGGGGCCGCGGTTGCCAACGGGGTTGCATGGCCATGCATTCATTGGACCATGCAATGAATGTGCAATCTAGATAATACATGTAGGAAGTAAAACTGTTTTTAATCTTATGTGGATGCAATTAACTTTTGTAAAAGAAATCATATACGCTATAAATACAGGCCCACAGCTTGGGGTGTTTTGAGGGTTCAAACGACCCTCCACCTTCGTAGGAGTATGAAATAATGYTTAGAGCTATTTTAGTTTTTCAAAAAATGGGCGGCAGATTGGTAGAAAAACGAACTTCACCTTTTCAAGGTCCTAGCAACAGGACTGGAATCGAGGCTGTAGCTGTTAGGTAACAAAGTTTTTGTATAAGATTGATTTGTAAAGTTTTCAATCTCTTGGATTTTTTTGTGCTGAAAAACAGCGATCTGGAAAACAAAGTAAAAAATGCTTGTATGAGTCAGACTTGATATGRTAAGCATGCATTAATGTAATATTAATGATAATTTATAACTGTCAGTGGTGTTTTTTTTAGAATGAAAATAGGCATCTGGAATAACAAATTGAGGTAGAAATAGTGTCAATATAAATATATTGCTCTTTTACTCCAACGAAGGACTAGCGTCCGAAACGTCAGTAAGTTTTTTCATCTTTTCACAGTGTATAATTTACCTTTTCATCATTACAGTGTCAATATAAGATAGTTTAGGCCAATTTTCTTTTCTACCCTGGAAAAGACTTTAATTTAAAAAAATCTATCAATTTTTAAGCAACTCGGTTTCTAGTACTGTTTAAATGCCTATTTATATGCCTTGGAGCAGGCTAGGTCTAGGTATAGGGGAGGCTTACATTTTTATAACAGTCAACCCCACCTCCCTTTTCTCCATTCCCCCTACCCTGCCCACACAAAAATGTTTCCCAAAAATGTTCCCAGAACAATGCTGTCTCCCATAAACATACCTGCAAAATTCCAGCCAACCCAATAGATATATAAGTATTTGTCTTTCTGTAATAAAGGATTTTTTTTTGCTTCTCAGTCGGCGYGGGCTGTTGAAACCTTCACTAGCCCTAAAAGGCCTGTCGGGTTACATGTAATGGGATTCCTGTGGTTTGTGAGGTCATTCTTTTTGGGTTCCCTGTGTTATGTCCCTCGCTCCAGTTTATTCAGATAATCCAACATGGCGGACCTTCAAGTTAATTTAACTCAATATCGAGCCCAACTAAGCCAGGTAATTCATCCTTAAAACCAAAAAACAATTCCTAATACTTCAATAAAAGTCTTACTCAATTGTTGATGTCGGTTTTGGAAAGCTTCAAAGCTGATTTTAGGCATAAAAATGTACTTTTTGACGGTCTTTCTTATCAAACTACGACGTTTTCTGTTCAACTTAAGTCATAATGCTCTACTGTATTGTAAACTCTCATCTTCTATTCGTCCTCTGACATTATATTATGATTTAAACTTTAAGGTCGAAGCTGCTTTAACCACAGACCCTGAAAACGAAGAACTCCTAAAGCTTAAGAACGATTTGGAGGTTAGTGATGTGAAAGAAACGATGACAGGAAAAAATAAAACAATAAACAACTGAAATCTAATGTCGATACTTAATCATAATTTGCTAATCAATACGTTTATTTTACACAGGAAGTTATCAATTTAACATTAGACCTTCTTAAAGTTAATGAGGTAAGTTTATTAAAATTATTTTTTTAGCTCATTTAAGGCACGTCCATTGACCCAATGGCATTAAAAGACTTGTGTGTTCCATTCCCTAAGTTAGTGTTGATATTCATTATTACAGAAAGGACCACCTAAAGAACTTGCTCCATCAACAACATGGAAAGTTGGTGACAGATGTGAAGCAGTCTGGAGTAAGGATGGAAAGTATGTGATGGTTACACAGACCAACTTCTACTAAGTGGCCTCAGTTTTTTATTCCTCCAAAGTGATAACTTTAAAATACTCCCATTTCAAGTTCGCCTTTGCAAATGAAGCTGGATAAGGCTAAGCCAAAGAGAACTCAAAACTGGAGTAAATAACACTGTCTTTTCAGTGTTTCTAACATATTTCCCCCTTGATTTCTAGTTATTATCCTGCTGTAATCGACCTGATTTCAGATGACTGTACAACATGTACAGTAACTTTTGACTATGGAAACACAGAAATTGTCAAGGTATATACTAATGTTATAGCGTTTTTAGTCAAACATAAAACAAGGAAGCCATATTGATGTACCAAACAAAGCAAACTTTCTGTACAGCTTTTGCATAAAAATTAGAGTTCAATTCCCAAAGAGGATAGAAATGGTTTGGTATGCCATTGTGGTCGCTATGATGTCATGTGAAAACACTCTATACATGCACTCTATGTTGTGGACTGTCACTGTTTCTGATAAAATGAATGTTACTAGTTGCAATTAGTAAATGCCCTCAATGTATAAGAAACTCTACAACATGGCTCCCTTACCAATAGGGCATTTCACGGGTCCTGTTACTCAACCTCAGCCTTGTCAGCGTGTAATTATTCTTTAGAATTTGACTACAGTCCGCAGTAATGAAAGGAATTTACACATCAATGAACAATAATATTGAAACACTTAAAAATTTCACAGGTTGTAGGCAATTTCTAAAGAATATATTACCCGCTGACGAGGCTGAGGTTGAGCCGTGGGATCTGTGAAATGATCTATTMATTTAAGCACATTCACACTTGGTCAAAAGTAGGAGAAGTTATGCCAAATTAGATAAGTCCTTTTTAGCCTTTAGGAAGTCCAAGAGTTTATTTCCACTAAGCTACTCTACTGTATGATTCCAAAAGATAAAGGCTAAAAAGGACTTATCTAATTTGGCATACTTAGTCAATACTTAGTCAATACTTAGTCAAGCCTGGTTTGGCCAAGGGGTTATAGCCGGTTAAATCTGTGTTCTATTAATCTTATTTCAAGCTAAATTCAGTAAGAGCTAATAATACACAAGCTGCTGCTGGTCAAAAGAGATCAAATCCTAACGATGATGATGATGATGATGCATCATCAGGCTCGAATAAAAAGATATCAAGGTATAATAAATTAGAAACTTAATTATTTGTTGGTTTTTTCATAATGCTTGATACAAACTTTTAGTATTCATTCTACATGAAGTGAATAATTATGTTTATCAAATGACCCGTATCTGCCCGGGCGCGTGCTCTTAAAAAAACCTTTGGGAAAATGGCGTGAGCAGGGCTGTACAGCTTTGAGCAAGCAAGGCCGTACAAATCCATACAGCCCTGCTCAAAACCTGTGACTATTGACATAATTTGCAACTTTTGAAATATCTTTTTTATTTATTAGGGTCATATGATAAAATGCTTATTGACCGAGTTAGGTCAGGCAGTATGTGAAAATATTTGGCTCTCAGTCATTTGTACRGACCTTGCTGTGCTCAGTCCGTACAGCATCACTTCAAGCCAAATACATGTATTTTCCCGTACGGCCCTCCCACTCAGTCAATAAGTACATAGAATGGTGAAATATTTATTTATTTGAGTGTTGCATCTTTAAGTGATAATGTTTATACTTCAACTACATTAATTTTATGTTAATGACTTTGACACCATACTCAGTATTTGACTTTGCCTCAACCTTAACCCATCAAGGTCATACAGAAAGTTCTACATGTAAACATGTATTTATTCAAATTAGTATACCTTAGATGAAGTTCTGTGTGAATCAATTCACAGGAAAGAAAAGGACCAACTAAGAGAACAAAAACGAAAAAAGATGGCCAAAAAGCAACAACGATTAAAGGTACCAATGTAGGGCAAACTTTCTGTACATATTAACCTCCATCTTTTCAAAGTGGCAATTAATTCATATCAATGGTAATACCTATTTATTATRTAATAATAATAATGATAATAATAACTTTTTTAATGTCTCAAATTCTCCTAGCCGGGTACAAGCGCCCTACTTATTGGGTAGACAAATTGCAGCTTTACAATCATTTAAAGCTGCACATACATCATTGTGCATCGTCGATCAAGTGTTATTAATCTCTCCTTCTGATTAGTTGGGTATGTGTGCTTTGTGAAAGCAAAACGTATGTGCACATGCTCTCTGTTTTGTCATTTATATTCAAAATAACTGATATTTAAGTTGTATTTCGTGAGTATAAAGCACAAGGATTGACGAGCTCTTGAAATTTTTTGAGAAGTATTTCACTACACATTGTTCTTTTCCTAGTTGACACAATCTTTCCTGTTTCCTAATTCCTGTGAGCTTCATAGATATGGCGCGTTTTCGGGTTCAAAATTAGATATGTGTAGCTTGTGCCAATTACTTTTGAATTCATATCTTTTTACCGCTTATTACTTACAAAAACATGTTTGTTTCACTCAAATTACTTTTGAAAACATGTAACCTAGAAGACAAACTGACTTTTGAAACTGTTCTTGTGTAAATTATTTTTGAATTCATATCTTTCAGCACCATGTATTACTTGCAGAAACACGGATTACTTTTGAAACACGTCTTTCGGCATCACTACTTTGAAAACACTGCTCTTTGCAGCATTATTTATCAAAGACCTTCCTTTCACTAAATGACTTTAACAAAACGAATCCGGTTTGTGCCCATTTAATACTATCGAAGCTAACACCTCGCTTAGGTTTAATACGACGATCCTTTTCAATTAATTCTTCACATTCCAACATAGCGACTTCCGCTTTGGCTTTCATTCATTACTTGCGAACAGTGATCGCATTACTTGCAAACACAAATTACTTTTGAAACATTTTTGAGCCAGGCGTTCCTGGTCAACTCTGAGCCTGATCATGTGACAAGAGAYTAGGAGGAGCGAACTTACACCTTGTAGTATATTTATTTATGTAGTTCTTTATCAAATTTAATATAAATTTAGTCAACCAGTATTAATATATAATTGCATGTGTTCAAATGTTCCTGAAGAACAGTTGAGGCTTCTGTCATCCCTTCGTCATGTGTTGCTCGATCTCTTTWGAAGGCTTAAATCAAGATTCAATCGAGGAGTTAGTGGACTATGTAGTCTTTCGACTTCAACAAATAACGCAGCACATTCGACGTATTGCCTCGAATACACCAGTGTTTGCAGACGTACAGAGCTCCCTAGCGGTTGTTTCCTCTCTTTTGTCAGAGGCAGAACGATCTCTCAGGGTCGCAGTCACAAATTTATGATTGGTTCGGTTTTAAAGTAAAGTAAAGTACCTATATCTAACGTCGGTAGTTCCTTCAGTTGAAATTCAACTGCTATCAATGGAAGCCGACGATGCGCACTTTACCCCCTCTCTCCATCAGTGTTCTGTTCTAAGTGTATTTAAAGCTGAAGCTACACGGATTAGCTAGAGAGAAGTCGAAACAGACATGGAGATCCTAAAGATCGTACCGTGGACCTCAGCTCCGAAGGTCGCGCACTAACCAACTGAGCTACGCCTGCTCCTAGTTTTCTTATATTTTTTCCCGAACTTTGGTTCGGTTGAAACCGGACCAACCGTACCGGTGGCTACGGCCCTGTCTCTGGAAAGTGTGTGTCCAAGTGTGTAATTCTGGGTAGGTTGGTCGCACGCGATTCGAAATACCGAGGGAACAGTTGCAGTATCTTATAGATTGGGATTTAACTTCAACAGATATTGCTCTCAAAGGATCTACAGAATTGGAAAGTTCGTGGAAATGGATTGCTTCTAGAGGATTTGGTGTCTCTGGTACTTCCACCCTGTCTCCCCAAGGCCCCCCAAAACCCACAAGGAACGCCTGGCTACGCAGGCTAGCTCCTCCTAGTCTCTTGTCACATGATCAGGCTCAGAGTTGACCAGGAACGCCTGGCTCAAAAATGTTTCAAAAGTAATTTGTGTTTGCAAGTAATGCGATCACTGTTCGCAAGTAATGAATGAAAGCCAAAGCGGAAGTCGCTATGTTGGAATGTGAAGAATTAATTGAAAAGGATCGTCGTATTAAACGTAAGCGAGGTGTTAGCTTCGATAGTATTAAAGGGGCACAAACCGGATTCGTGAAAAGTGAAAGGAAGGTCTTTGATAAATAATGCTGCAAAGAGCAGTGTTTTCAAAGTAGTGATGCCGAAAGACGTGTTTCAAAAGTAATCCGTGTTTCTGCAAGTAATAMAYGGTGSTGAAAGATATGAATWCAAAAATAATTTACACAAGAACAGTTTCAAAAGTCAGTTTGTCTTCTAGGTTACATGTTTTCAAAAGTAATTTGAGTGAAACAAACATGTTTTTGTAAGTAATAAGCGGTAAAAAGATATGAATTCAAAAGTAATTGGCACAAGCTACACATATCTAATTTTGAACCCGAAAACGCGCCATACATAGAAGCGTATGATATCCTAATTACATATTTCCTATTTCTTCAATCTTGGGGTTATATAGAAAACCTTTATATGATATTTATTTATTTAAAAAATTTAAATTCAATGTAGGAACTTGGGGAGCAAAGAGAACAAGAGAAAAATCGATGGTTAGACTTCTTTAATAATTCAAAGGTATTGTACATTATATCTATAGAACATATATACACCTACTTGCAAGAATGTTGTCATACGAAAATAGAACATTAGTGATTTAGTGGGATAGGAATTATATTAAAAAACAAAAGAAGATTACTGAAGCTGAACTTTTTCTTTTGTCTTTTAATGTATTCCGTTCTCACTAAATTACTAATGTTCTATTCTTGTATGACAACATTCTTGCAAGTAGGTGTATATATTGATTGTCTTTAGGAACTTTACAGTCTACACAACATACCATCCCCCTACTCGGATAAAACCCTCAATCAAAAGCCTTATCATTTTGTACATTGTCTTATGTTCACAATAACCACTCCCCCTGCCTCCCCATCCTGACGTCGAGAAACAAACCAGGTCGATTTAGCATTACAGTGCATTGTGGGAATGTTTAGAAATAGACACCATCTTGGAAATGTGTTCCCTAAATGGTCCCACAATGCGCTGTGATGCCAACTTGAACTACATGTATTATTTTCCTCAACCTTGGATCAGCTAATCTCATCTTGTGACCCTAAAGACACCCCAAATTGTGCTGTTAGATGTAAGCAAAATACATGAACCAGTGCTTGTTTGTGTGTGTGTCAGGGTGGTGCAAGCAGCAGCAAACAACCAAAGAACTTAAAAGGCGTCTCAAAGAAAAGTATATTTGCATCACCAGAGACTTTGACAGGCCGAGTAAGTACACTTTTGTTTTATGTAACTTTTTCTATTTTTGTTATTTGCGCCAACATTGTCCCATTCAAATCAATAGACCTTATATATATRAGAGGAGAAAAAACAATAAATGCATGTGGAAAACATTAATAAAGTAATCCAAACTCTTCATAGAGTCCTGCTTAAATATATTATAAATTCAAATATGATTATCTAACCAGGTTGGTGTTGGAACATGTGGAATTGGAGACAAACCTATGACAAACTTCCCCAAACAAGACAAAGTGGTGTACAAGAAGTGATCCAGTGTTGTAAATATCTTATCCAAAATGGAAATGTTTATAGTTCTGGAATATTTCGTCCCGTCACATCTCAATGAAATCTTTGACAACTGCTCCGGTCCTTTCTTCTCCCATCTTTTCTTTCATCTTTTCTTTCATCTTTTCTCCCATCTTTTCTCCCATCTTTTCTCCCATCTTTTCTCCCATCTTTTCTCCCATCTTTTTTCCCATCTTTTCTCCCATCTTTTTCCCCATCTCTCTTCACAGCTGAAATGTTAATATGACTACTGAAATCTTTTTTTAAAATTTAAAACAGTTACTGGGCATTTGTCCCCCTCGTATATTCAAGAGACAGTTAAATGTAAACCATTCAGATTAAATTTCCCAATGAACAAAGTTTTAAATTTTGGGATATTATAGCCTAATTTTTTACCCGGACATAGTTACAATACATTCGAAGGAATTTCCAATGGAGATCGTTTTGAGGGCCATTGAGCTAAGATTTTTTAATCCAGGTTTTTCGTAACCCATGTAACTGCTCTCAAGCATTGTTTTGGGTGCCAATCAATATTTAGGAARCCCTTGTAAACGCAAGTGAAGTGAGTCTTGTGACACATTTGGGTGCCAAGAATCGTGTTTTGGGTGCCAATAAATATTTAGGAAGCTCTTGTCAACACAAGTGGAGTCTTGTGACACATTTGGGTGCCAAGAATCGTGTTTTGGGTGCCAATAAGTATTTAGGAAGCCCTTGTCAACACAAGTGAAGTGAGTCCTGGGAAGCATAAAAAATGTTTAGCACTGGCTCCACATTTGGGTACAAATGATCGATTTCTGCGTTCACGCGTTCAGCACTTTGAAGAGGGGCGATGAACGGGTTTTATCCCTCCATATACCCGTCTGAGATAGGAAATCTTTTATATAAAAAATATCTTCGGCATATTCGTTTACAATCAATAAATATCTAGGATTGTATGAGCGTCGAAAAATCCTGATTGTATTAATGCTTTCCTTATTAGTGTAAAAGTAAACTTTAAGCCATCTAAACAGGTTCATTTTTATTTAGTAAAATTTGTTTCATTTTTATGATATCTCGAAGTTGGCTTCTCGACAAAGTATCCTGCGATCCCAAAAGCTGTAACGGCAAATTTGARACAAGAAGCTTGCGAGAATAGGCAGTTATGTTGCTTATTCCAATCAAAAATGGCGTAGGCGACATACCAACCTATACTAACTGCTTCACGTTTAGCTTTACTGGAACTAAGACAAAAAAAGTGAAATTTGAAATTTCTCCAGGCAAAGTTTCTAATGTATAATCTAAAAGCGAAAATAAAAAATTGTTCTCTAAAGTTGAATCAATGGAAATTGGACAACTGATACATTCTTTAGATCGCTCATTAATGTAAAAAGAGAATTCCAGAGCCAAGAAAACCAAACGCTTTCAAGGTCGGTCGTTGAATGAGTCTCCGAGAAACAAGCAAATCGAAATTGTGTCATTGTGACGTTACACGTGACGAACGGATGAATTTACGTTGCCAGGCAACATGTTCCTCGCGCACGCTCGATTCCGTTGGTTGCGCATGCTTTCTTCCGCATGTTTTCTTTCAATGAAGACCAGAATTTCTATTTGAAAAATAGGCTGAATAATTAACGAGTATTACGGATGTTACAAGGATCGCTCTAACGATTGACTGTACCGATTTAAAAAATACGAAGTAAGACCGATTACCCAACGACTACATATCGATCGGTCAAGAGTTTCGATAACTCAATTATACAATTAATGCAAATGGTCTGTTATGACGTCACAAGGCAATTACTTCATTACTGAAGCAATTAAGAAGTAATTAATCAGAAACCCTGTTCACATTTTACTGAATTTCACGGTGAAAGCTAAGCTTTAACATGAGTTTGGTGAAGAACCTGTGCATGGGGGCCGCAGCAGTAGTGGTGGCTGGTGCAACGAGTTACATGTTGTACCGCTACTTCAAGAAGGACGTCAAGGTACGTACGTACGGCATTAGTGAAATAGTTCATTTTTGAAACGCACGAAAAGCGTTAGTGATTTTCACTTCTTGGTACTAAGGCTCAGGTCAAACGTTGAACTCTACATGAGCCGAACCTAATTGAAACAACGTATAACAAGGCGGTCTTCTTTTGTGCCATTAGGCTTAGCTCATGTGAAATTCGACGTTTAAACTTGGTCTAACTAGCTATTCCATTGCATAAGTTTTCTCACAAAAGCGACAATGCCAATTTTTTCCCGTCTCTAATTTTCCTCTGTTTTTTTTTTCTTTCAGAAGGGAGAGAAGGCCGATGAGGCTGTTTCCTCCTGCTCCAGCGACGTGTAAGCAGGAAGGCACTTGGCTATAACTGAGGACCATGCATTACAGCATCCAACATAACATCATCCAATCACTGTCCTCAGTCAAGATCAAGCCAAGACAAGCTCGCATGCTGGCTGGACGGGGAATAGCTTCTTTATTTGTTTTTACCGGAATTACTGGCTTTGGAAAAATATATTCTACTAACAGACTCTACTGAACTTCTGAAATAGCTACTGAAATCACTGGTTGATAAAACCTTCTACTTTACCCAAATGAAATATATTGAACTCTATACTGAGTAACTGATAATAAATCTACCCAATGGACTCTACTGACTCGACGATCAAGACTACTGAGACTCAACGGTTGATAAGAAAACCTACTTTACTCAATGCACTCTACTAACCTGGACTACGATTACGATCAAGTCTACCAGACTCATTGTTTGATAAGAAAACCTACTTTACTCAATGCACTCTACTGACCTGGACTACGATCAAGTCTACCAGACTCATTGGTTGATAAGAAAACCTACTTTACTCAATGGACTCTACTGACCTGGACTACGATCAAGTCTACCAGACTCATTGGTTGATAAGAAAACCTACTTTACTCAATGCACTCTACTGACCCTGGACTACGATCAAGTCTACCAGACTCTCTTTGGTTGATAAGAAAACCTACTTTACTCAATGGACTCTACATTGGGCAATATACAATGCACTATGGTGAATGAACAATGGAACACAACAGACGATGAACAAACGACATAAGTGACTGGGCACAATGGAAAGAGATTACGGACATAGACACTGGACAACAGACAACCTACGATGGACAACAGACCACTCGCAAGAGTGACAGCCAATATAGCATTGGACAACCGACGACCCACAGACACTCCGAGGACCAACGGACAACCGACGACCCACAGACAATAGAGGACCAACGGACAACCGATGACCCACAGACAACCGAGGACCAACGGACAACCAACGACCCACAGACAACCGAGGACCAACGGA